AAAGCTGGTTTAAGTAAGTGAGTATGTGACAGGGCTGGTATAAGTGAGTGAGTGACAAGGCTAGTTTAAGTGAGTGAAAGACAAGGCTAGTTTAAGTGAGTAAGTTATAAGTGAGTACGTAATAAGGTTGGTATAAGTGAGTAAGTAATAAGGTTGGTATAAGTGAGTAAGTGACAAGGCTAGTTTAAGTAAGTAAGTAATAAGGTTGGTATAAGTGAGTAAGTAATAAAGTTGGTATAAGTGAGTAATTGACAAGGCTAGTTTAAGTGAGTGAAAGACAAGGCTAGTTTAAGTGAGTAAGTTATAAGTGAATTCGTAATAAGGTTGGTATAAGTGAGTAAGTAATAAGGTTGGTATAAGTGAGTAAGTGACAAGGCTAGTTTAAGTGAGTAAGTAATAAGGTTGGTATAAGTGAGAAAGTAATAAAGTTGGTATAAGTGAGTAAGTAATAAGGTTGGTATATGTGAGTCAGTAATAAGGTTAGTATAAGTGAGTGACAAGGCTTGTTTTAATGAGTGAGTGGCAAGGCTAGTTTAAGTGAGTAAGTAATAAGGTTGGTATAAGTGAGTAATAAGGTTGATATGAGTGAGTAAGTAATAAGGTTGGTATATGTGAGTAAGTTATAAGGTTGGTATAAGTGAGTGAGTGACAAGGCTTGTTTAAATGAGTGAAAGACAAGGCTAGTTTAAGTGAGTAAGTGACAAGGCTAATTTAAGTGAGTAAGTAATAAGGTTGGTATAAGTGAGTAAGTAATAAGGTTGGTATAAGTGAGTAAGTTATAAGGTTGGTATAAGTGAGTAAGTAATAACGTTGGTATAAGTGAGTGAGTGACAAGGCTAGTTTAAGTGAGAAAGAAATAAGGTTGGTATAAGTGAGTAAGTAATAAGGTTGGTATAAGTGAGTAGGTAATAAGGTTGGTATATGTGAGTATGTAATTAGGTTGGTATATGTGAGTAAGTAATAAGGTTGGTATAAGTAAGTAATAAGGTTGATATGAGTGAGTAAGTAATGAGGTTGGTATATCTGAGTAAGTAATAAGGTTGGTATAAGTGAGTTAGTTATAAGGTTGGTATAAGTGAGTTAGTTATAAGGTTGGTATAAGTGAGTAAGTAATAAGGTTGGTATAAGTGAGTAAGTGACAAGGCTAGTTTAAGTGAGTAAGTAATAAGGTTGGTATAAGTGAGTAAGTGACAAGGCTAGTTTAAGTGGGTAAGTAATAAGGTTGGTATAAGTGAGTAAGTGACAAGGCTAGTTTAAGTGGGTAAGTAATAAGGTTGGTATAAGTGAGTAAGTGACAAGGCTAGTTTAAGTGAGTAAGTAATAAGGTTGGTATAAGTGAGTAAGTGACAAGGCTAGTTTAAGTGGGTAAGTAATAAGGTTGGTATAAGTGAGTAAGTGACAAGGCTAGTTTAAGTGGGTAAGTAATAAGGTTGGTATAAGTGAGTAAGTAATAAGGTTGGTATAAGTGAGTAGGTAAAAAGGTTGGTATAAGTGAGGCTAGTTTAAGTGAGTAAGTAATAAGGTTGGTATAAGTGAGTAAGTGACAAGGCTAGTGTAAGTGAGTAAGTAATAAGGTTGGTATAAGTGAGTAAGTGACAAGGCTAGTTTAAGTGAGTAAGTAATAAGGTTGGTATAAGTGAGTAAGTGACAAGGCTAGTTTAAGTGGGTAAGTAATAAGGTTGGTATAAGTGAGTAAGTAATAAGGTTGGTATAAGTGAGTAGGTAAAAAGGTTGGTATAAGTGAGGCTAGTGTAAGTGAGTAAGTAATAAGGTTGGTATAAGTGAGTAAGTGACAAGGCTAGTGTAAGTGAGTAAGTAATAAGGTTGGTATATGTGAGTCAGTGATAAGGTTGGTATATGTGAGTAAGTAATAAGGTTGGTATAAGTGAGTAGGTAAAAAGGTTGGTATAAGTGAGTAGGTAAAAAGGTTGGTATAAGTGAGTAGGTAAAAAGGTTGGTATAAGTGAGTAGGTAAAAAGGTTGGTATAAGTGAGGCTAGTTTAAGTGAGTAAGTAATAAGGTTGGTATAAGGTTTATAATACTTACTTTTGTATGCAAATTGTATGAATTTCGGGTGCCACCGGTAGGACAGGACATGCTCGCCCTTTCGCGAACACCTGGTGTCATCACTGATTTTCAGTGGTCTATTCATAGAATTTCCACAGCTATTTGCGCTTTACGTCAAGTGGAATCTGTTTCGGCGGAAAATCTAGGCTGGTTATCCTGGTTATCATGTGCATGATGAATGAGTGAGTGATAAAACTGGTTTAAGTGAGTGAGTGATAAAACTGGTTTACGTGAGTGAGTGATAAAACTGGTTTAAGTGAGTGAGTGATAAAACTGGTTTAAGTGAGTGAGTAATAAAACTGGTTTAAGTGAGTGAGTGATAAAACTGGTTTAAGTGAGCGAGTGATAGACTTGGTTTAAGTGAGTGAGTGATAAAACTGGTTTAAGTTAGTGAGTGATAAGCTTGGTTAAGGTGAGTGAGTGATAAAAATAGTTTAGGTTAGTGAGTGATAAAACTGATTTAAGTGAGTGATAAGCTTGGTTTTAGTGAATGAGCGATAAAACTGGTTTACGTGAGTGAATGAAGCACAAGGCACACTGATACAAGTCAAGTGTACTCGTCGCTAAAATTCATCGCTACTAAAAACAGATTTATTATGCAGCCATGTCACCTCGCATGTAGCGTACAATGCAAACTATAACAGCGAAACCACATTTTAATTACACACCCCACCGACAGTCTTCCTCCCAGATCCAAGTAATAGGCGTTTCCAGAATACCGGTCTTCCTTTTAACGATAAACACCATAGTGTCATGTGCCATCTCGAGGGCACTGGTTCTTGCGGAAGGAGAAAAACGGACAATATCGCATCACTGTTCTGGAACATTCTTTATAAAAACATTTAAGCAATACACAGCCGAAACATACCCATGTATGATATACCTGCTGTGGCATGACAAGCACAGCCATTAGCGGAGTTTCCAGCTCATACATACATTACAGCTATACATAAATTACAGTGTACATAATTATAAATCAAACATATGAAATATTAAGAAACAGTTTACGTGTCACACTGTGGTAATAGGGACATATTTTCTCACAAAACAATAATACAGATCTCCACTTGAAATTAGGTTTGTACATATTTAGGAAAATAATAGTTAAAACATCCGACTTCTTTTATCGAGCTTGGAGATGCATAGCAAACTGTCCTATAAGTCACTTGCTTGCATTGTGCGATTTTCGTTTACACTATTTTGGATTGTAACTCAAATCAAATATTGCACATGAGCTTTGCTTATTTTATCGTGTGTATGTTTCAGTCATTGTGTCACTTATGCACTTTTTTAAACGCCTAAATAATAAGGGTTTTTTTTTAAAAAGGACTGAAAGATGTGTTCATATATTTTATTACGATAACGAATTCCAAACATTTTGATGTTTATAATTGTCATCACCCAGTGACTGAAAATGATAGGATTAAAAGAAAACGAAAGTCAAAGTACATTTCTATATTTTTTTGCTTCTAATCGTGGCATAATTAGGTTATTGTGATGTATTATAGCCCTTTTGAAGTCAATCTGTTTACAAAATGGACAGATTTTTCAGTCAATTTGTAAAATGACTGAAATATTTAGACATTTTATAATTGCCTGTGTGAATTACATTTTACACAAGGCCTGTAACATACATACGCCTACAAATGAAAACGCTTGTGAAAACAACGACTTGGTGTTGTCTGTCTCGCGTCGAAGAACTTCCAACCGAAAACGTAGACAAACAAAAATGATTCTGCTCAATGCGACTGCAAATAATTGAAAACAAAATGCAAATATCGTAATTACAACCGACCAAAGTTATATGAATAAAATCAGGCAGTTACCTTGTCCGAGGAATGCATCCGTAAATATCCACATGAAGGAACAAAGCCCCGTACGTCTGCAGCTGTACTAAGAAACATGTCGCTGTCACTTGTCTTAGCTTTGTAACTATCTCATATTTTAATATATATATAGCGTTTCTGGATAGTATAACTCTTGTTCGTTTCTCACCTGACCACGTTCCTTTGATTTAGTGTTTCACATAGGTGTCAAGTGTCTGGTCAGCTGAGATAGCACACGTGACAACTTTATTTATGATGACCACGGTTATTTAGACTAATCCATTGAGTCAGATATCAATCAACGTATTATCGGTAATATTAATCCTTTGAATAAAGTATGTTGTATTTAGATCGACACTTAACGCTCAGATATGGGTGTATTCCGTCTGCTTTAGTAAACCTACATATATAACCACTTTCTGTTGACAAACACACTATGCCAGATAACAGTGATTAATCAATCAAGATATTTTCGGTTAATCCTCTGTTGCTGTGCTGCCACGAGCATATTACATCAAATACATTTCACCCCACTTCAGACCTGGATCTAGATTGAATAATTACCCAAGCTACCTGGAATGCCAAATGGGAACCTTTGTCAGGTAATATGAGTGTGCCATTTGCACCTGAAATATATTCATTACCTGAGCATCAAGTGAAAGACAACAAAGACACAGGTGTAGGGTTACACAATGAAACGTGACGCAACACAACAAGGGAGTAGTAATCGTATTATCCACGCAATCCAAAATCGCTGTCACTGCAGTGATACTTTTTTTATTACACTGTAACCATGAAGGATATTTCCAAATAACGACATTCGTTGTGATTTCATCGTTCTTTTTGTCTGTTTGTTTAGGTTGAAGAAATGAATTAACATGCGCCCTTTGTAATATTGTAACCAATTTGTGTTCAGAAATGCGAAGAGATATTGCCTCAAAGTCCTAACAGACGGTAGCCCAGTCTCCTGTCGCGCACAGTTGCGCACGAGCAAATGACAGCTGGTAAAAGCCCTATTGACAACGTTGTATACAAGCCGGTTCCCGGACGTATATACATAAAACAATTCAAATCTAGTTCTAGTTCACATTGCGCACTACATAGTGACAGGCATTGTATAACGGGTGTGACATTCTGTCACCACACTGTCAGAAGCGTCAAAACATTCTGAGCAATGACAAAGAGACCCGATGTTCCAGCATTGTAATGTGTGCACTGCCCAGGTCGGGCAGCCAGAGCGGTGAGGCGGTACAGGTCAGTCGCGTTGAGAAGGTCCTGTCGCTTGGCAATTTGCCATTCCCGATTCTCTCTTCTTAGAGCATCCGGACGCAAAAGTCCAGGGACGGACAGATTGCCACACTGCTTGTGGAATGAGGGAGGGGAGGCGACTCAATTCTACAAGGGAAGGAAGCAGGCGCGATTGGGCGAGGGAAGATAATCGGATAGACAGGACCAGCATCCACCATTAACTGGACGACACACAAGGATGCAAAGTATAACAGGTAGTGTGTGATCGTCTGTATGTGCCGTTAGAATCTTCTGACGCATGTGGCCGATGTCTGCGTCCGCTTTAAATAGACCAGTACTTCTAACTCATTTTGCTGGATGATGTGGATCAATAGTTGCGTTTCTCAATATCTGACGTGCAGAGCTGGCAGATGGTAACCAACTGACATCCCTGATCAATTACTAGCATCTCGCCACATCGTTTATGCAATCGATCATACCGATTGAACATTGAGAGCGTATTAAAAAATGGTATCAGCTGGTTAAGTCTAGTAATGTGAGAGTTTCTTCATGCGCAACACAGGTCATAGGCGGATCAAGCATTTTTAAAGGGGGGTCCAAAATATAAAAATCACGTTTCATTCAATAATTTTTAGGCCTACAACATACTACATTAGGTTTTCAAAGGGGGAGGGGGGGGGGGGGGGGGGGGGTTCTGACCCTGACACCCCCGACCCCTCTGGATCGGCCTATGATCTGTATTCGGGGGGTCCTGCCACACACACCCCACACCCACACCCACACCCACCCCTTTGAAAACTTAATGTTGCAGGCAGTAAAATTGTTGAATGAAACGGGATTTTTATATTTTGGAGTCCCCTTGCAGGTTGTCTATGTGTAGGTGCTGTCATAGTCATAGAGCAAAGATACTAACGCCTCTGGTCCCTACTCGCCGAGAACCTCACCGAAACGCTGCGCGGTTTACAAAGTTAATGTAATTTACCACTTCTTCCCCGAACCGAGCGGAATATCGAGGGGAAAATAGACCAAGCGTATAGTTAATATTAGCTAGTAACAGGATGTGACGGTGCTATTATTAACCCGTATTCTTCACACAGCTGTCCACTGAATAAAGTGTTTGGTTTGATTCACAGCGACACTTCCCCCGAGGCTAAAGGCTCTATGTATTTTGCTTTGTGTTGTACGTGAAAGGGCTGAAGAAAAGGCCAGTTTATCTCGCCATGTATGTGTTAATTCAATATATTCAACTGTAATAATTTCAAATAGTTTAGTTTGTTTTGTTACCAACAAGTTTGGTTTGTTTGTTGTTAAATCCTGCATTCAACAATATTCCTGCTCCGTGACGGCTGTCTGTATTTAATCTGTACCAGACAACCCAGTGATTGATATCATGAGCACCGATCCACGGAATTGGGATACGATTATATGCATCTACCAAGTCATCGAGCCTGACCACCCGATGCCGTTAGTCATCTCTTACTACAAACATGGGTTGCTGAAGACCAGTTCTAACCCGGATTGGGGCGGTCGGGTAGCCCAGTGGTTAAGGCGTTCGCTCGTCACGCCGAAGACCCGGGTTCGAATCCCGACATGGGTACAATGCGTGAAGCCCATTTCTGGTGTCCCCCGCCGTGATATTGCTGGAATATTGCTAAAAGCGGCGTAAAACCAATCTCACTCACTCACTCTAACCCGGATATGTACGGGTTACTAAGACGTAAAAGGCGACTAACGGGATCGAGTCGTCAGGCTCGCTGAATTTGTTGATGACACTTCATCGTATCCCAATCAAATAGATCGATACCTATGCCATGAATCACTGGATTGTCTGGTCCAGACTCGATTATTTACAGGCCGACGTCAAATGGCTGGAATATCGAGTGTAGCGTTAAACAACAAACAAACAAATTCTTCCTGTCAGGAATATACTATAATGACAATGACAACATACAAGACACATTTTGTCGTTTCTTTCAGTTCTTATCTAATAATTTCAATTGTAAGTGCGTGGGAGCTATACCTGGACTGAGATAAATATACACGTAATTAAAATAGATCTACACCTGACCAGTAAATGTCTGTGTATTTTTAAGGTTTAGAATGTAGATAACAGTTACAAATTCCACATGCCGATAGAGATGTAAAACAACTTTTGGTTATAGAATCCTTCTTAGTTTGGGATACACAAAGGATAATGAATAATAACTAGCTGATTCTTCCAAACATACCCATAGCCACAAATCTGTAACAGTTGTTATATGAAATACCCAGTTGCGGTCTTCTTGTTTTGCCGGACACAAACGTCATATAAGATGTCCCTGGCAACCAATGCGTGCTGCTCTTATAGAAATAAAAACATATATGGCATTCTCCATATACACTGATATAGACGCGTACTTGTCTTGACAAACCGCATAAACATGAAATGATTCTTTAGCATTATACACATTTAGATCAATACCTGACAATAGGACTTATGTTTGCATCATAGTTATTTAAATAATCTTGTATGAAACATCGTCCACTGTTTACACTTGATAATACCTAAGGAATAATATTCTTTGGCTTGTATGTCGATTACCGAGCTCATGTGTCCTGAACCCCCCTGATATATCTTACAGTTGGTAATATTGTGTCGATGACAGAGAACATGTGTCCTGTATCCCCTGATATATCTTACAGTTGGTAATATTGTGTCGATGACAGAGAACATGTGTCCTGTATCCCCTGATATATCTTACAGTGGGTAATATTGTGTCGATGACAGAGAACATGTGTCCTGTATCCCCCTGATATATCTTACAGTTGGTAATATTGTGTCGATGACAGAAAACATGTGTCCTGAATCCCCTGATATATCTTACAGTTGGTAATATTGTGTCGATGACAGAGAACATGTGTCCTATATCCCCTGATATATCTTACCGTTGGTAATATTGTGTCAATGACAGAGAACATGTGTCCTATATCCCCTGATATATGTAACAGTTGGTAATATTTTGTCGATAACAGAGAACATGTGTCCTGTATCCCCCTGATATATCTTACAGTTTGTAATATTGTGTCGATGACAGAGAACATGTGTCCTGTATCCCCTGATATATCTTACAGTTGGTAATATTGTGTCGATGACAGAAAACATGTGTCCTGTATCCCCTGATATATCTTACAGTGGGTAATATTGTGTCGATGACAGAGAACATGTGTCCTATATCCCCTGATATATCTTACAGTTGGTAATATTGTGTCAATGACAGAGAACATGTGTCCTATATCCCCTGATATATGTAACAGTTGGTAATATTTTGTCGATAACAGAGAACATGTGTCCTGTATCCCCCTGATATATCTTACAGTTGGTAATATTGTGTCGATGACAGAGAACATGTGTCCTGAATCCCCTGATATATCTTACAGTTGGTAATATTGTGTCGATGACAGAAAACATGTGTCCTGAATCCCCTGATATATCTTACAGTTGGTAATATTGTGTCGATGACAGAGAACATGTGTCCTGTATCCCCCTGATATATCTTACAGTTGGTAATATTTTGTCGATAACAGAGAACATGTGTCCTGTATCCCCCTGATATATCTTACAGTTGGTAATATTGTGTCGATGACAGAAAACATGTGTCCTGAATCCCCTGATATATCTTACAGTTGGTAATATTGTGTCGATGACAGAGAACATGTGTCCTGTATCCCCTGATATATCTTACAGTTGGTAATATTGTGTCAATGACAGAGAACATGTGTCCTGTATCCCCTGATATATCTTACAGTTGGTAATATTGGGTCAATGACAGAGAACATGTGTCCTATATCCCCTGATATATCTTACAGTTGGTAATATTGTGTCGATAACAGAGAACATGTGTCCTGTATCCCCTGATATATCTTACTGTTGGTAATATTGTGTCGATGACAGAGAACATGTGTCCTATATCCCCTGATATATCTTACAGTTGGTAATATTGTGTCGATAACAGAGAACATGTGTCCTGTATCCCCTGATATATCTTACTGTTGGTAATATTGTGTCGATAACAGAGAACATGTGTCCTGTATCCCCTGATATATCTTACTGTTGGTAATATTGTGTCGATAACAGAGAACATGTGTCCTGTATCCCCTGATATATCTTACAGTTGGTAATATTGTGTCAATGACAGAGAACATGTGTCCTGTATCCCCTGATATATCTTACAGTTGGTAATATTGGGTCAATGACAGAGAACATGTGTCCTATATCCCCTGATATATCTTACAGTTGGTAATATTGTGTCGATAACAGAGAACATGTGTCCTGTATCCCCTGATATATCTTACTGTTGGTAATATTGTGTCGATGACAGAGAACATGTGTCCTATATCCCCTGATATATCTTACAGTTGGTAATATTGTGTCGATAACAGAGAACATGTGTCCTGTATCCCCTGATATATCTTACTGTTGGTAATATTGTGTCGATGACAGAGAACATGTGTCCTATATCCCCTGATATATCTTACAGTTGGTAATATTGTGTCGATAACAGAGAACATGTGTCCTGTATCCCCTGATATATCTTACTGTTGGTAATATTGTGTCGATAACAGAGAACATGTGTCCTGTATCCCCTGATATATCTTACAGTTGGTAATATTGGGTCAATGACAGAGAACATGTGTCCTATATCCCCTGATATATCTTACAGTTGGTAATATTGTGTCGATAACAGAGAACATGTGTCCTGTATCCCCTGATATATCTTACTGTTGGTAATATTGTGTCGATGACAGAGAACATGTGTCCTATATCCCCTGATATATCTTACAGTTGGTAATATTGTGTCGATAACAGAGAACATGTGTCCTGTATCCCCTGATATATCTTACTGTTGGTAATATTGTGTCGATGACAGAGAACATGTGTCCTATATCCCCTGATATATCTTACAGTTGGTAATATTGTGTCGATAACAGAGAACATGTGTCCTGTATCCCCTGATATATCTTACTGTTGGTAATATTGTGTCGATAACAGAGAACATGTGTCCTGTATCCCCTGATATATCTTACTGTTGGTAATATTGTGTCGATAACAGAGAACATGTGTCCTGTATCCCCTGATATATCTTACAGTTGGTAATATTGTGTCAATGACAGAGAACATGTGTCCTGTATCCCCTGATATATCTTACAGTTGGTAATATTGGGTCAATGACAGAGAACATGTGTCCTATATCCCCTGATATATCTTACAGTTGGT